TGCTTTTGAATCTCTGTTGGTTCTAATCTATCTCATTGATCTAGGCATTAATCTAGGCTACACTCATATGGACTTTTTGTATTGTCAACATTCACTCATGTTTGAACACAAGTGAATTTGGCAAGTATCTAATAAAACTGTACATAAACTGTAATTAACTTTATCTACTTTTGAAGTAAATGCTTGTGAAATGGTACCTTTACCATTTGATATTAGCACTGGCTACAAATAATCTCTATTTTTGAAAGCATCTATGGTTGATGCATTTATCTATTCCTATATTTACTCTATTTTTTAACTCAAAAGCTCGGCTGCAGCTTGAGCAAAGGCATATTTCTAATCTGTGACTTCTGTCACTTTTAATATCTCTAAAATACTCTGATTCTAATATTATAGCTGATCTATCAAAAGGATAACATTGTATGGTACTATTTTAACTCTTATGTGGAAATGTGTTTATGAACAACAAAGGAAGTCAAATTCTACTCTTTTACTACTATTTAACATCTACTAAAACGCTACAATACTCAAACTTTATCATTTTCAAAGTTTTTGTCTGTCAGATGTCTGAATACTTAACATGTATATTGCATTTGTCACAGTTTCTGGTTGTAGCAATAGCATCGGCAATAGACGTTTTCATTGGCTGGTTCTTGTTCTGCAAATGGCTGTGTCCAATAGATCATCAGATGTCCAGAAGCTAGGGACAAACAAAAACAAAAGAAGAATCATGAGTATCTCTCTCATTTAGCACTCATCAATGTATGATTTCAAAAATATAAACATCACTCCCCAGTTTTTTCTCTCTCAGATCCTCAGGTCCTCAGGGTCCCCTGAGGGTGAGTCTCAGTCGTCATCAGGTCAGGTCATCTTGGACATCAGTAGGGTCCAAGCCATGGTTCTGGTCTCTCCAGTTGGACATCAGATCTCCAGATACAGTCTTTTCACTTGAAGCACATCAGGTCATTTGCGATGCACTTCTGGTCAATGGTGCAGTCTCACAGTTCCTGTACACAGCTTGTTATGCAATAGTTACTTTCTATGGTTAAGTCACTTTGATTCTACTTTAAAGACAATTTCTATTCATGCTGTTGCTAATGTCCCTTAGACAAAAGCAAGCGCAGTTTACTTCTCTAATTTGTGTTTTTATCAGATCTAATTCTCATCAATGTAATTACTTCACACAGTACAAAATCAACAAATCAAAAGTGTCAGGACAGAGGTCAATTATGTCCATGACAATATAGAATTCAAATGAACATTTCTGGTCTCAAAAAATACTGATTCAAATAAAGATTCAAGTGATAGACAATTAATGTGTTTACATTGGAGTAAACTTTTAAAATGCTTTTTTCCTCATGTTCTGCTTTTTCATGTATCTATATGTAAATGTGAATGTGTGAGTGTATGTGTGTATGTGTGTGTGTATATGAATTTTGGGGTTGTGTCTCCAGACTCCACGAACCACCTGTAGGTCTCAAAGGTCACACTGTGGTGATGTAAACCACGTAGACACACTTTCAACTCCCTCTAGGTCTCTACCTGACGCTCCACCCATCACGTCTCCAGATACCTCTCTTTCATGGCCCCGGTCTCACTCCCACTTACTTCTGTAGTGGGGGGAGGGGCAAGGAGGTGGCATTTCCCTTTGCTCTTTGATCTGTGACCTGTGGCTGGGTGGGCTTTGGTGTCCAGTGTCCAGCAGTCCAGTGACCCTGTACAGTGTGTGCTCTTGGTTCTGGAAAACAACCTTATAGTCAAATTAAAAACAACAGAGATTGTGAATGAGATTGTTTTTCTCTCTGAAGTCAAAACAATTTGAGCGCTCTGGGTTTTCCCAAGCGCTATGTAAATAAAAGATTACTTATTATCTTACTAATGATGACATTTTTAAGACCAGAAACTCTCTTAATAAAAAACAAGACTCAAATCTCTTAAACCTTCAAACTTTAAAATATGTATTATGTACTTTTGTACTGTGTTTAATTATCTATGCATTTATCTCAGCATATATTTTACTAATTTAAAATAATTGCAGCATTTTTCAAATGAAGTCAGTATGAATTGGAGCACATTTTAGACCAGGCTCCTCTGCTGTGGCATCAGCAGGAGCAACAAGGTCAGGCGTGTAGTCAAAACAAAAACAAAAGTCACCACTTGCATGTGAATTGGGTAGTTTAACTTAATAATATAATACTTTTACAGCCTAATTCCCTCTTTCTTTTTTAGACGAAGTCTACAATCATTAATCACTTTTAACAGATTCTAATTTAAATGTTTGAAAAACGGCTTTTGTAACTAAAATAAAAAATACATGAAAAAATTCTCACAAACAGCTATGAAATATATCAGAGATACAATAATGGACTCACAAAATAAGCAGCAGATCTAAAAGAAAAGCAAAGCTTTTTGTACTAATCTTTGGGTTTCAAAAACATACTAATTCAAAACTTCTATTCCCTAATGGTGTTTAAAAACGTTTAACTGTGTCTAACACAATGTTCAAATGGCAAATTTAGCAAATTTAACGGAATAACAACTATGAAAAGCCAAAAGTCCTAAAGCAGTAGCTTTGCTTCAGATTCACAGCCAGAGCAGCGAAGGAGGGGGCCGTTTCCCTGACAACGGCAGCAGATAGAGCGGCGCACACACAGGCAGAAAGATACAGAAGAATAACTTTCAAGATTACTTTGTTAAGCGAATATAACTGATGTTGTTCTTTATACTTTTGTCATCCAAATCTAGAAGTGATCACTTTCCACACTAGTAACAAAAGGCACTCTTGTCTTTAACGTTTACGCTTCTATTTTATCGAGGTAACAAACTAATTTAAACTTAAAATCTCTTTCTAAAAAACAAAAACAACTGTTGGATACAACCCTCTCATAGCTCAACTGTAGATAAAACTCGGTAAAAAAATGTAAATAACTCACGAAAGCTCTCATAGCTCAACTTTAGATAAAACTCTGCATTCTCCGGTGAACTCTGTTCACGCCAAAAACAAAAACTCCCTTTTTCTGTATGTAATTTAAACCGTGATCACTGAAATATTGTTGCTTATGTACTTTTGTCATTTATCAGCCTGAAATTCGTCAATTTCAAAGCTTTTGTAACAAAGGCCTCCTTAACACATTTCCCTTTTTATTGCTTTTATTATTACACCATGGTTTCACTTTTGGATCCAACACTTATGGCCTTTACACTTTATGGATCCTCACTTTAATGGCCAACACTTTTCACTTATGGATCCTCACTTTAATGGCCAACACTTTTCACTTTATGGATCCTTTTCACTTTAATGGCCAACACTTTTCACTTTATGGATCCTATTCACTTTAATGGCCAACACTTTTCACTTTATGGATCCTATTCACTTTAATGGCCAACACTTTTCACTTTATGGATCCTCACTTTAATGGCCAACACTTTTCACTTTATGGATCCTTTTCACTTTAATGGCCAACACTTTTCACTTTATGGATCCTATTCACTTTAATGGCCAACACTTTTCACTTTATGGATCCTATACACTTTAATGGCCAACACTTTTCACTTTATGGATCCTATACACTTTAATGGCCAACACTTTTCACTTTATGGATCCTATTCACTTTAATGGCCAACACTTTTCACTTTATGGATCCTATTCACTTTAATGGCCAACACTTTTCACTTTATGGATCCTATTCACTTTAATGGCCAACACTTTTCACTTTATGGATCCTATTCACTTTAATGGCCAACACTTTTCACTTTATGGATCCTATTCACTTTAATGGCCAACACTTTTCACTTTATGGATCCTATTCACTTTAATGGCCAACACTTTTCACTTTATGGATCCTATACACTTTAATGGCCAACACTTTTCACTTTATGGATCCTATTCACTTTAATGGCCAACACTTTTCACTTTATGGATCCTATTCACTTTAATGGCCAACACTTATTTGAACACAATTTAGAGAGTTCGACAGACCTCAAAAAATTTAGCTAGTATCCAATTATGCAGACTTTACATTTAAAAAGGTGTCTGCTTACCTTATTCTTGTCAAAGAGGTGCGCACGGGCTGTCCGAGAGGTCTGCCAACTCTTTTCCGCGTCGGAATCTTCAATTTAAAAAACAAAAGTGACAGAAGCGACAAGAAGCATCCAGGAACAGCTCTTCCAGCCTGCTGGAATCTCCGCTCCCAGACACAGCATGCCGGTCTCTCATGCAGAGGAAAAGAAACAGAGCAAGCTCCCTCAAAACAATCCAGAGAATGGCACAAACCGAGCCGCGCATTCTCCACCAAATCTGTTAGGATTAGGCAGACAGAGACGGATCGTGGTGTGCCAAACTCTGGAAGTTTATTTAAGTTTCTCTCAAGTTCCACTGGTTTACTCTGTTTCTTTTTCTCAGACAGAATAAAGGCAGTACACAGTTTATATAGTCATTGTCACGTCACACATGGAAAGACATACGTGTCACAAAGAGACAGTCACATCATAGTCATAACATGGAGTCCTTGTAGAGTCCTTGTACAGTCCTGCACGTAGGCCATATTGCTATCTAATACTAATACCAGGATTGAAAAGTACATTACAAGTTAAAGATATTATTACACCACCACCACCACCACACACTCCTACACCCATGGTCTCCACATTACTGATCATAAAGAGAACATGCCATAACATTTTTGTGCCCAACTTTGGCCTTTTGGGACAAGCAGACATTCATTACTATTGTGTTTTGTCAAATTTGTATGTAGAAGAGGGAGATTAAACAAAAAGAACAAATTGTTTTCTGGCATTTTATATACATGCTTTTTTATGAATTTGTGTTATCTGAATGGCTCTGAAATGTAGACACTGAATAAGTTCAACACAAAACAAATATTGCAACAAATTCTCTTTTATTATAATCGTGAGAGAAAGGCTTCAGAGGAGAGCGCCAATCTCCATCTCTCTTGGAAAGCTTTCAGCCTCCCTGCTGCCTCCTCTGGTAAATGCCTCACCAGATCATTTGCAATCATTTTAAACTCACTGTCCATAAAGAACAATCACAGATTAGATTGTGCAGTGCACAGTGAAATATGTCCATCAATATTTAAATAATCTTACCATGGTTCATACTTTGGCCCCTTTATGAATTTTTCAATTGCCTCTTGCTGAGGCAGGTGAAATGCCTCGGCCAGAGTGTGAACTGTCACCTAGATAAGAGTAAAATGTGTTACATTCAACAACAACAGTTCACAAAACCAAATGCAGCCCTAAAAGGTGTCCTGTTTAATATATTGTCAGTGACTTGCACTTATGACTTTATGGTCTCTGTACATCAACAATGTTGCAATGCAGAGTTTTTAGTACAGTGTACGTCCAGGAAACATGTACCATGACATGTTTATGTTTGAGGGGGGTTCAGTGTTTTATGCACACTTTCATTACAATAGTCCCTGTGCCAGCCTGGTGGCGCTCGGGCCTACTAATGTAAAACAAACATTATATAAATCATGCTATACTTCCGGTAAGAGCGTGTAGACCAATCAGAAAGGAAGGGGGAGGGAGCTTGGGTTGTTTTTTTTCAAATCAAGTACCTCTCTGTCTCTCTTTCTGACAAACTCTAGACAATCACTTTAAAGAACACATTTACAATATTGCACAACACCTGGATTTGAAGTTAAAACATACCTCCATGACAAACAGATGCCCTTTCATGGGTTTGCACGTGTGTGAGCATTTGTGCTTCTCCTCCATGTTTAAAACAGGTTACACACGTGAGCGTGTTCCCCTGCTTCAGCACTGGAGCATGATTCCCATCACTGACAATAGTCGGATGCAACTGAAAGCAGACATAAACATCCATTTGTGCACACTCAGAAACACAAATATCTTGGAACATCATCCAATAACTATGGTCAGTGACTTCTGTAACTGTGATAGGAAACATCGTGAGCTACATCACATAATTGCCTAACTAATTCTCCACTGTTCTTGGAAAACATGTAAAGAGTTATGTTTTTCTCCTTATTACCATTTTAACAATGCAAAATGACTTGGGCAATATTATATTGTATATATTATACTATGTACCTGACATGTCGATGGCACATGGACTCTTAGAAGAAACCCATACGAATTGCTTTCTCTGCAATGTATTAGTTCACTTCTTAAAAAACATTTCTAGTCAGGGTGATGTGCATTTATTCATTAATACACTGTAACTTGAGGGACGGCTATGGGGTAAGGTTACTGTCAATAAAGACGTGCATGTCTAAAAAAAATGCGTGCATATTTATTGGTATTTGTGCATAAAAATATTTTATTAATTCATGATTAAGATAATACAAACTCAAAAGACATGTCCAGTGAATTTCGTAATTAAGAATAAAAAAAATATAAAACTGTATGTGTGATTTTGTACTTTGGCTGAACCAGGTCTGGATTAAGATCTTTGGTCTATAGGCTGAACCAGGTCTGGATTAAGATCTTTGGTCTATAGGCTGAACCAGGTCTGGATTAAGATCTTTGCTCTATAGGCTGAACCAGGTCTGGATTAAGATCTTTGGTCTATAGGCTGAACCAGGTCTAGATTAAGATCTTTGGTCTATAGGCTGAACCAGGTCTGGATTAAGATCTTTGGTCTATAGGCTGAACCAGGTCTGGATTAAGATCTTTGGTCTATAGGCTGAACCAGGTCTGGATTAAGATCTTTGGTCTATAGGCTGAACCAGGTCTGGATTAAGATCTTTGCTCTATAGGCTGAACCAGGTCTGGATTAAGATCTTTGGTCTATAGGCTGAACCAGGTCTAGATTAAGATCTTTGGTCTATAGGCTGAACCAGGTCTAGATTAAGATCTTTGGTCTATAGGCTGAACCAGGTCTAGATTAAGATCTTTGGTCTATAGGCTGAACCAGGTCTGGATTAAGATCTTTGGTCTATAGGCAGAACCAGGTCTGGATTAAGATCTTTGGTCTATAGGCTGAACCAGGTCTGGATTAAGATCTTTGGTCTATAGGCTGAACCAGGTCTGGATTAAGATCTTTGGTCTATAGGCTGAACCAGGTCTGGATTAAGATCTTTGGTCTATAGGCTGAACCAGGTCTAGATTAAGATCTTTGGTCTATAGGCTGAACCAGGTCTAGATTAAGATCTTTGGTCTATAGGCTGAACCAGGTCTGGATTAAGATCTTTGGTCTATAGGCTGAACCAGGTCTGGATTAAGATCTTTGGTCTATAGGCTGAACCAGGTCTGGATTAAGATCTTTGGTCTATAGGCTGAACCAGGTCTAGATTAAGATCTTTGGTCTATAGGCTGAACCAGGTCTAGATTAAGATCTTTGGTCTATAGGCTGAACCAGGTCTGGATTAAGATCTTTGGTCTATAGGCTGAACCAGGTCTAGATTAAGATCTTTGGTCTATAGGCTGAACCAGGTCTAGATTAAGATCTTTGGTCTATAGGCTGAACCAGGTCTGGATTAAGATCTTTGGTCTATAGGCTGAACCAGGTCTGGATTAAGATCTTTGGTCTATAGGCTGAACCAGGTCTGGATTAAGATCTTTGGTCTATAGGCTGAACCAGGTCTGGATTAAGATCTTTGGTCTATAGGCTGAACCAGGTCTGGATTAAGATCTTTGGTCTATTTCACAGGAATGTGGAACAAGACGCCGTGAACTGGATGCATGTTTGACTTCCTGTGGCTGGGTTTCAGGTGTGACATCACAATCTCCGCTCCATGGTCCCCACAACCGCCATCAAATCTGTCAGTGTGTGTAACCTGGATCTTTCTCTGGTTCATGGTCGATTTGGGGACGATCGCACAAAAACTGAATGCACTTTTTTACATGTATTTTTACTTTTGCAAATTGAAAATCCCAAAGTGACTTCCTGTTGCGTACAATGACAAAACAAATAATTTTGATTTTGTATTTTTCAACCCAGACAAAAACATGGCACTGGAAAAAAGAAGGAAAACACATCTTTTTTACACAGAATAAAAAATGAAAGATTTTAAAGATATCTATCCAAACCATATCAATGTCCAGGTTTGTGACGGTAAATAACTCATTACACAGAAGATTATGTATGTAATTATTTGTAACTCGAGGACAAAACACTGTGTAGGCTCAGTTTCCCAGATAGAAGATAACACACACACACACACACACACACACACAGAGAGACACACACACACACACACACAGACACAGAGACACACACACACACACACTGTAAGTCTAGCTACATTATATAACCTTTACTGTGTTAGGACCAAAATACTTTGTGAAAATGTGAAACCCCCAAAATGACTTTGACGACTTCTGGACGTAGTCTAGAAAACATTTACTAAAACTATCTTTACCTTTTACAGACTTCACTTTGAGAGAATCCGCTGCACTGGGTGAAAAATAATAATGCATCTTAGTCTGAACACATTCTGACTGAGCCTTAAAACTCAACGCAACAAAGCAAATTATCTTGACACAAGAAATGAAAGCAATCGTTGAAATCAGACTAAACGTCTTTGTCCCGTTGGAGAATCTGGTTTTAAACAGAATGTGTCGGATTAAGATCAAATCCACTCGATTATTACCTCATATTTGATCCTTTTTTGCACTGTGTACGTCCTCCCCTGGGCCTGTCCAGCAGGGTCCTCCCCTGGGCCTGTCCTGCACGGTCCTCCCCTGGGCCTGTCCTGCAGGGTCCTCCCCTGGGCCTGTCCTGCAGGGTCCTCCCCTGGGCCTGTCCTGCAGGGTCCTCCCCTGGGCCTGTCCAGCAGGGTCCTCCCCTGGGCCTGTCCTGCAGGGTCCTCCCCTGGGCCTGTCCTGCAGGGTCCTCCCCTGGGCCTGTCCTGCAGGGTCCTCCCCTGGGCCTGTCCTGCAGGGTCCTCCCCTGGGCCTGTCCTGCAGGGTCCTCCCCTGGGCCTGTCCTGCAGGGTCCTCCCCTGGGCCTGTCCTGCAGGGAGCTGTGGGAACATGTCTCTGAGCATATGAGTGTTTGGACTGCTGCCTCCACGACTCGGATAAAGCGGAAGAAAATGAATGGATGGATACTGAGCTGAGCAGAGTACAGTGACGGAAGATCTGAGCAACAGTGGCTCAGATCTTCTCCTCCTTCTTCTTCTTCTCCTTCTTCTTCTTCCTTCTGCCTTCTCCTTCTTCTTGATCTTCTTCTCCTTCTCCTTCTTGATCTTCTCCTTCTTGATCTTCTTCTTCTCCTTCTTGATCTCCTTCTCCTTCTTGATCTTCTCCTTCTTGATCTTCTTCTTCTCCTTCTTGATCTCCTTCTCCTTCTTGATCTTCTTCTTTGAGTCAGTTGTAGTTTCGGTTCCCATTACTAAGTTCGGCGCTCCAGTTTTCTCCCACAGTAACAATCTGCAGGTTGCATCAGTAAACCGGGCCATGGGAGGAAGCTGACCTGATTCAGAATGTTCTACTTCTCATCGTGGAGAATGTAAACACCTCCGTGGCCTATATGTTTCAGGTGACATCACACCCAGGCTGACCCAGGCTGATCTGGGCCGACCGCCATGTTCTGTAGGTCGCCGGGCCCTTTGTCTGCACTCCGGTCCTGGGAGAGGGTTTGTCCTGACCCAGTACTGATGCTTTGTGCTTTTATGGTAAACAGGGCCTATAGTTGCACAGACAGATGAAGTATCTCTGGGACCATCTGGGACCATCTGGGACCATCTGGGCCTCTGCATGTGAAGACACTGTCCCACTTCTGTCATGCTTATTCTAAACAATGGATTTAAGACGGATGTTTTATTGATCCCCGTAGGAGGATTCAGGCATGCAGCAGAAACACATCCATCCATACAAGAAAATAAATACATCATTCTAAAAGTTAGTAACGACAGTAATGCAGTACTTTAGACTCAGATGTTGTTCTTAAGAAAGTCCAGAACAGGCGGCTCACAGTCCTTTGATCTCTCTTTATGTTCCCAAACTTCCAAAGGCGACACAGCAATACAAGTGTTCAGGTAAACAGGAGGATTTTCCAAACGTTAGGAAAGAACCTCCACTTTTTGAACAAACTCTCTGCTCTGATTGGACGAGAACGTGTCATCAGAATGATTGACAATGAGGAGGACCAATAGTCGTGATGATCCACCCGGAAGTAGAACATCCTCCAAAACCTTTAAGTAGAATCTTCAGAGTTTGTGGCGAAGTCTTTACGACGAGATCCATGTTTTTGTCCCATTTCAGGTCCTTGACTGCAATAAACCCAAAACCTACATCCAGGAGAAGCATTTAGACCAGGCAGGTTCAAACTCAGGCCCACGGGCCAACTGCGGTCCTCTGCTGACACTTTGACAGTGTCATCCAACCAACTTCAGCTCCACCAACACAGTCATGCTGTACCTTGTTGTAAATCTCAGACTCTCTGGAATCCAGTTGTTGGCTCTATTGTTATTTAACGTTTTATGATTGTGTGACAACATTCTAAATAAAATACAGCCCTGGTGTGAAAAGGACGTATCAAATCCCATTTCATTCCAGAATCCAGTCAATCCAGTTTTTAAATCCAGATAGTTCCGAAGTAGCCACCTCTGATTTAGACCAACTTAACCCGCTCCAACCACAGGCTTCCACAGAAACCAAAGAATAAGGCGACAGTAGCTCAGTTGGTAGAGCATCGGCCTTAACCTCGACACTTAACCTCTGGGAACAGCAGGTGCCACAGTGGGGCGGCTGCGGCTGTAAAGTGCCAAACTGCCGTTGTGTCCTTAGGCAAGACACTTCCCCCACATTAGAATGAGTCTGGTGTGTGTGTGAATGGTTGGTGGTGGGAGGGGCTTCTGTCAGTGTGCCCCAGGGCAGCTGTGGCTACAGTAGTTTATCACTACTGTGTTTAGAGAGAATAATGATGTGAAGAGACTTTGAGAGTCCAGAAAAGCACTGTATAAAACTGATTTATTACAAAAACTAGGATCTCTCCCACCCGTAGGTCCCCATAGGTCCTCATAGGTCCCCATAGGTCCTCATAGGTCCCCATAGGTCCTCATAGGTCCTCATAGGTCCCCATAGGTCCTCATAGGTCCTCATAGGTCCCCATAGGTCCTCATAGGTCCCCATAGGTCCCCATAGGTCCTCATAGGTCCCCATAGGTCCTCATAGGTCCCCATAGGTCTTCATAGGTCCCCATAGGTCCTCATAGGTCCCCATAGGTCCTCATAGGTCCTCATAGGTCCCCATAGGTCCTCATAGGTCCCCATAGGTCCTCATAGGTCCTCATAGGTCCCCATAGGTCCTCATAGGTCCCCATAGGTCCCCATAGGTCTTCATAGGTCCCCATAGGTCCTCATAGGTCCCCATAGGTCCTCATAGGTCCTCATAGGTCCCCATAGGTCCTCATAGGTCCCCATAGGTCCTCATAGGTCCTCATAGGTCCCCATAGGTCTTTATAGGTCCCCATAGGTCCTCATAGGTCCCCATAGGTCCTCATAGGTCCCCATAGGTCCTCATAGGTCCCCATAGGTCCTCATAGGTCCCCATAGGTCCTCATAGGTCCCCATAGGTCCCCATAGGTCCTCATAGGTCCCCATAGTGTTAGCCTTAATGTGGAAGAGGCCAACTGGAACAAGGGGTTAGGCTTGTTTGCGCCTTAACAGGGGGCGTGTGTGTTACTAAGATGGTTGCTAGGACAGTTGCTAGGTGACGATGCAAACGTTGGTCAGACGTCCAATCAGAAAGGCCAATCCATTTAAAGAGAAATGATGCAGGACATGTTTGGACATTTACGGTCATCCCGCTCACAAAGAACCAGTGTGTTTGTTGTTAAGGCATTTCCTGCGCTGAAAGGATTTGATTCTCTGATCTGCTCTTGGCAAATCGACAACTTTGCAAAGTCCTCAAAGATAATTAAGGCCAGTGCAAAAATGTATGTAGTTGAATATCAGTGACTATTAATTATCGGTATCAAATAATTTGTTTGTTATTTATCTCAGAGGACTTTGAACTGTCCATTCTCCAACACAGATTAGAGAATCAACACAGGAAATACACATAGAGCCATTGGACCATAAGCGGCAGATGACCAAGGTCCATAATCGTTCATAAAGTCCATAAATGTGGAAGAATAACAGTATTTGTAGTAAATCGGGAGAGTCCTTCAGCCTCTGAGGTTCTGTGCCGGTCGGAGAACCAGGTCAGACCCGTCCACATCACCTGATCTCCGCGGTAACGCCCCGTGTATCCCTTACACACTTTAGCCACAAAGAAACAAAGACAAAAGTTATTGTTTGGAGAAAAATAGGTGACGGATCTGAATCTCCCGCCTGTCACCAGAATCGTATAAGAAGGAGTCGGAGTCGGAGGAGAAGACACGCAGCAGCTGAACCTCGCTGAAGCTAAAACTAAAATACCTCTGAGGAATAACACCATGAGAGTCCTGCAGGTCACGGTACTGCTCGTCCTGGTCCTCTGCATGACCCATGGTACGTACTTTACTCAGGGTTTACGGGACGATACTGGTGAAACTGGGAAAATTATAATATGGTTAAAAAGTGCCTTTATTTGTGTATTTTTTATGTGTATTCTTATTGTTGCTGTTTTTTATTTTTCACTTTGGTGAGCCTAGGCTGATTTAAATGTGTTTGAAATGCATTTTTTAATGCAGTCCCAACATGCTAACTGCAGCCCCAACATGCTAACTGCAGCCCCAACATGCTAACTGCAGCCCAACATGCTAACTGCAGCCCCAACATGCTAACTGTAGCCCAACATGCTAACTGCAGCCCAACATGCTAACTGCAGCCCCAACATGCTAACTGTAGCCCAACATGCTAACTGCAGCCCCAACATGCTAACTGCAGCCCAACATGCTAACTGCAGCCCCAACATGCTAACTGTAGCCCAACATGCTAACTGCAGTCCCAACATGCTAACTGCAGCCCCAACATGCTAACTGCAGCCCCAACATGCTAACTGCAGCCCAACATGCTAACTGCAGTCCCAACATGCTAACTGCAGCCCCAACATGCTAACTGCAGCCCAACATGCTAACTGCAGCCCCAACATGCTAACTGCAGCCCCAACATGCTAACTGCAGCCCAACATGCTAATCTCTCTTTTAAACAATATTCTAGTTTTTCAAGTTGTACCTGCATTTTGACTCATCTAATATTGCAGGTGGTTAAATCTCATTATCTCCAAGGTCCTGGTCCTGGCCCTGGACCAGTCCTGGACTGGTTCTGGTTTTGAGCCGAGTCGCAGAGAATCACAAGTGTTAGTTACCATAGCAACAAATTGATTAGCATTTTGGTCGCTTTTCAACACAGCAGGTTTAGCAAATATTAACAGATACAAAACTTTCAGAATTTTCAGAATTCCATTTACTTGAATGAGAGCCGTCAAAATGACTGCTGCGAGTTCAGGTTTGGACCTGGATTCTGGAAACATCCACAAAACAATTTTAGTTTATTTTACTACAGTTACGTAATCATATAGTTTTTATATTTACTACAAGTTAAACTATCTCCTGTGTGTTGCTACGGTAACCAGCACCTCCTCCAATCTGAGATTCCTCTGAACCAGTCTAGAACCAGTCTAGGATCAGTCTAGAACCAGTCTAGAACCAGTCTAGAACCAGTCTAGGACCAGTCTAGAACCAGTCTAGGATCAGTCTAGAACCAGTCTAGAACCAGTCTAGAACCAGTCTAGGACCAGTCTAGAACCAGTCTAGGATCAGTCTAGAACCAGTCTAGGATCAGTCTAGAACCAGTCCAGGATCAGTCTAGAACCAGTCTAGGATCAGTCTAGCACCAGCCTAGGATCAGTCTAGAACCAGTCTAGAACCAGTCCAGGATCAGTCTAGAACCAGTCTAGGATCAGTCTAGAACCAGTCTAGGATCAGTCTAGAACCAGTCTAGGATCAGTCTAGAACCAGTCTAGGATCAGTCTAGAACCAGTCTAGGATCAGTCTAGAACCAGTCTAGGATCAGTCTAAAACCAGTCTAGGACCAGTCTAGAACCAGTCTAGGACCAGTCTAGGATCAGTCTAGCACCAGTCTAGGATCAGTCTAGAACCAGTCTAGGATCAGTCTAGAACCAGTCTAGGATCAGTCTAGAACCAGTCTAGAACCAGTCCAGGATCAGTCTAGAACCAGTCCAGGATCAGTCTAGAACCAGTCTAGGATCAGTCTAGCACCAGCCTAGGATCAGTCTAGAACCAGTCTAGAACCAGTCCAGGATCAGTTTAGAACCAGTCCAGGATCAGTCTAGAACCAGTCTAGGATCAGTCTAGAACCAGTCTAGAACCAGTCTAGGATCAGTCTAGAACCAGTCTAGAACCAGTCCAGGATCAGTCTAGGATTAGTCTAGAACCAGTCCAGGATAAGTCTAGAACCAGTCCAGGATCAGTCTAGAACCAGTCCAGGATCAGTCTAGAACCAGCCTAGGATCAGTCTAGGATCAGTCTAGAACCAGTCTAGGATCAGTCTAGAACCAGTCTAGGATCAGTCTAGAACCAGTCTAGGATCAGTCTAGAACCAGTCTAGGATCAGTCTAGAACCAGTCTAGGATCAGTCTAGAACCAGTCTAGGATCAGTCTAAAACCAGTCTAGGACCAGTCTAGAACCAGTCTAGGATCAGTCTAGAACCAGTCTAGGATCAGTCTAGCACCAGTCTAGGATCAGTCTAGAACCAGTCTAGGATCAGTCTAGAACCAGTCTAGGATCAGTCTAGAACCTAGAACCAGTCCAGGATCAGTCTAGAACCAGTCCAGGATCAGTCTAGAACCAGTCTAGGATCAGTCTAGCACCAGCCTAGGATCAGTCTAGAACCCAGAACCTAGGATCAGTCTAGAACCAGTCCAGGATCAGTCTAGAACCAGTCTAGGATCAGTCTAGAACCAGTCTAGAACCAGTCTAGGATCAGTCTAGAACCAGTCTAGAACCAGTCCAGGATCAGTCTAGGATTAGTCTAGAACCAGTCCAGGATCAGTCTAGAACCAGTCCAGGATCAGTCTAGAACCAGTCCAGGATCAGTCTAGAACCAGTCCAGGATCAGTCTAGAACCAGTCTAGGATCAGTCTAGAACCAGTCTAGATCGAGATGATTCCACTCACATAATTAAATGGAAATAAACTACATTTAGAAACAGAAAGAGTCAAAGTTATGAAGCGCAGTAATGACACTCCCAAAACAAAAAGCTCTGAGAGTCCTGGTGTTGGACCAATGTTGAGGGGCCTCATTGATCAGGGACTTGGGTCTGACAGGTTTTGAAGTGTGCTAACTCAGTCTGGTCCGGTCCTCAGGGGTCCACGCCGACGACGCCCTGGTCTGTAACTGCGTGTTCCAGGTCGGGGGGCGGGGCTACGAGACCATCGAGACCTGTCAATCAGACGGCAATGTGTGCGTGTCCGTCACCGGGCAGATCCCACGTAAGTCCGACACGAAACCAAACACACGCTAAATCATCATAATAACACACTCTTCTCTTGTTTGGGTTCAGATGTTTTTGGGTCGCGTCCCGTCTACTACAGAGGCTGCATGAAGTCTACGACCGCCACCAAACTCCAGGACATCGTGTGGCTCAACGTTCACATCTGTAACACAGGCCTCTGCAACTGAAACCATAGCAACACATGTTTATTTACAAAATATTATTATTATTATTATTATTATTATATTTAAACTGTACAACTGTAATTATTTGTGTTAATATTCCTGTCTGTGAATAAAGTATACTGTGTTTTGAAAGGTTGGGCATGTTTGGATTGTTTAAGAGTAAAGAGTGGATTGTGTTTTTGCCGAGGCCGTTACAGGTCAGATCTGTGGAATGTGCTCTGTTCACAACATTAAAGGAGGATGTGGCTTTTCAGCAGAAAAGCGGTTTTACAAAGTCCACATTATTTACACACAGACAGTAAGAACACACTAAATATACAAAAGTAAACAGCTGCTGAACCTGCTGTAACCCTAACCACAGGAGCTAATAAACAATAATAATAAATACATTATGGATCTATATCTAATGTATAGTAAAATCGTAAAATAAGTACCTTCTGTCTGTACTTAAATTCCCATAATGACCTGTGTACTGCACATGTCTTATGTCAAAGCAGATCAGAGGTGAAAGCAGAGAACAGCAGAAAAGGAGCAGCATCCGCCAAAACTAAGGCTCTGTTCTTTGTGTTTTTATTTTGACAGACAAGTTTGATGTTTTCAGCTAAAACATATTAAAAGGATGTCAGACACACCTGCAGACAGGATTAACATGTTCAGAACCTCAAAATCACAACAAGATAAACTAAACAGTGATTAACTCGGTGAGAACAACAGAAAGAATGTTCCTCCTCCAGCGGCGCCGTCTGTACAGTCTGTAAAGTAAGCTGCAGTTACATTTACAGATAGAGACAAAAACCCTTTAAAACCAGTCTGAAGGAGTCTGGAAGAGACCCCTGTGGCCACCCACGGCCACAGGGGGCGCTGTGGTGCTGCAGACTAAATTCACGTGGGCTACTCAGAAAAAAGTCCCATAGAACTCCAAGTTCAGAGAACCTGACAGAGAACCTGACAGAGAACCTACAGAGAACCTGACAGAGAACCCACAGAGAACCTGACAGAGAACCTACAGAGAACCTGACAGAGAACCTACAGAGAACCTGACAGAGAACCTACAGAGAACCTACAGAGAACCTGACAGAGAACCTGACAGAGAACCTGACAGAGAACCTACAGAGAACCTGACAGAGAACCTACAGAGAACCTACAGAGAACCTGACAGAGAACCTACAGAGAACCTGACAGAGAACCTACAGAGAACCTGACAGAGAACCTACAGAGAACCTGACAGAGAACCTACAGAGAACCTACAGAGAACCTGACAGAGAACCTACAGAGAACCTGACAGAGAACCTACAGAGAACCTGACAGTAGGTCATGAAGTGCCATGACCTACTGAGCACAAACCACTCATTTGAACAGGGCGCCATCTTGGATCAGCGGGGCTTGACTGGGCCTCACAGATTACATAAATAAATACATACATAAATAATCCTTTTTTTTGTCTCTTTCAATGCATTCATAACCCAGTTTGGCTAATTACTGAATAATAAGTCCCACAGCTCTGAAAGAACAGAGTGAGATTGGAAACCACAACATTACACAGACTCGTGACGGTGTGAAGGCTCGGCTCTATTGTTCCACAGTCGCACGTCCAGTTCTGCGGATTATTCACTGCCAACTTCCTTCTGCACAAATCAAAGATAAAAGAAAGGAATTCAAATCAATTCAAAGTAAAAGTTGGCCCAAAATACAGAGACACAAATAACTATTATTATCATGAGCCAGGACACTCCACATTCGACAACATTTTTGGTCATTTTTGTCGTCTGCACCTTTATGGACCAATGTGTGTATTTCTCTTTCAAATTTGAGCAACGTGGGGTTAAGTGTCTTGCCCAAGGACACAAAAACAACAGCAGACATGAGTGGGAGCGGTTGGAGAAGGCCTCATGGGGGAATCAAACCCACAACCTTCAGCTCTACCACCTGAGCCACTGCTCCACTAAACAAAAAGATACAGAAGTGTCTCCTTTGGAATCAGACTAAGTGACTTTGTCCCGTTGGAGAATCCGGTTTTACCACAGTCAGAATGTGTCAGATTGGGATTCAAACCCATGGATTTAGGCCTTTACTACCTCATGTTTTTGCAGTGTAGAAGAATAAATCGAGTTGAGTTACTTCTGTCCGTCTGGAATGTTCCGCCTCCACAACAAAAGGCCGTTTACTGTAACCAGGAACACACCTTTATCCAACTTCCTCCAGCTCCAACAGCCCGGGTATAAAACCAGCATGAGCGAAACACGGGCGCCAGATCAGGACCGAGAATCAGGAACGAGACACGAGCCCATCATCTACCACCAAACCCGACACCATGAGAGGTCTGCAGATTGTGGCTGTGCTGCTCGTCCTCAGCATCAGCATCAACACCCGTGAGTATTTACAGAATATATTAGGATTAAGATTAAAACAGCATATATTCATCCCACAGTAGGGAAATTTCAGTGTTGCATCGCCGGTTAAGACAGTAGAAATGAGCAGCACACCGCACAAGTCAAACGAACAATAACTTTATACTAGAATAGTTCAAATCTCAGGTTTTACACTGCAAAAAATGATTAAAAAAAAGGTTAAATGGTTAAATAATCTGACCGTGCTTTAGTCCCAGATTCTGTTTTAAGGCTCAGTCAAAGTGTGCGAAAATTGTAGAAATATTTTACAAATCTGAGCATTTTTTACTTATTTTTTTGCAGTGTAGCATGAGAACAGAGCAAGTATAAAAACTCTATCTTTGTCCTAGATAAAGGAGTCGGTCTAAAATCTGCAAAATATCGAAGCAGGAGTCAAGTTAAATGTGTTTTTGGGAAGTTTAGTTTTTGTTTGTGTTGTTAAAAGAATTGAAGAATCATGACTAAAACTCGTGAATAACTGGATTTCAGAAACAGTCTACAACATGTTTTCAATCAGAGAGCTACTCTATGCAACAAACGACGCAGAGAGCTACTCCTTTTAATCAGTCACAAAACAATTAATGCGATCATTACGACAAATCATAACAACACAGAAATATACCATTCTGTAAAACCCCATATTTATACTTATAATAAATACCTAATAACTCAAAATGTATTCATTCATAAATTCTAAATCCTTTGGAGAGCTACCTGGAAGGGGCTGGAGAGCTACAGGCTGCAGACCCATGATCTGTCACTGAGGTTAGAAACGGCTTCTCATTGGTCAAAAAATATATCTGTATTTATAATGATGCAACAAAATACTGCACTTCTCTCTCTCCTGATGTCCGGAACAGGGTCTTTCTGAGTGGAGTTTGCATGTTCTCCCCGTGCCTGCGCAGGTTTCCTCTGGGTGCTCCGGTTTCCCCTACCACTAAAAACATACTCACTAGGTTAAATCCTCCAGCTCTGGTCCTGACCCAGAGCATCAACATCTGGAGATGGTTCCCGGGCGCTGTTACTACGGCGACCACTGCTCCTGGCGTGAGCCTCAGGGCATCTGGGTCAAATGCAGAGGAGGAAGTGCCCTACGGGGATTAATAAAGTGCACATTTACCTTTAACTACTAATTTTAGTGGTTAAGGGGGGCATATTTAAAAACGTAAGAGCTTTTTAAATAAGATCAATAATAACAAATACATAGAAGCCATTGATCCATACGGAGCTGGATGGATGATAACAAATGGGATCTACATTGGGTTTGTCTAAATGAAACTTAAAGGGTCTGGATCATGGTGTGTATTAGAACAAAAGTATTCACAGAAGAGAAGGAGAGAGACTAAATTATACTTTTATATTGTATTTTTATTCGTCCTTAGATTTTACTTCTTGCTTTTATTGAACCAAAGCTGGACCACAGCGGCTCACGTTCAGTTAACAAGTGTGAGACAGAAGCAAGTCTGTGGGAAAGGTCCGCGGGCCGCACAGAAACATGGACCGGGCCGCACGTGGCTCTCGGGCCGCACTTTGGTCTAAACCTCACGTTCAGACTTTTGCGTGTTTCAGTGAATGCTCTGAGGTGTTACAACTGTGTGGCGCCCCCGTGTGGCGAGCAGGAGGACTGCGAGGACGCCAGCGACGTGTGCGGGACCCTGACCTGCACCAGCCCCCGTGAGCTGCACACTTTCACAATAAGATACAGACACTTTCAAAATAAGATACAGACACTTTCGCAATAAGATACACACACTTTCACAATAAGATACAGACACTTTCAAAATAAGATACACACACTTTCACAATAAGATACAGACTTTCACAATAAGTTACACACACTTTCAAAATAAGATACAGACACTTTCACAATAAGATACACACTTTCAAAATAAGATAGACACTTTCGCAATAAGATACAGACTTTCACAATAAGATACACACACTTTCACAATAAGATACACACACTTTCACAATAAGATACACACACTTTCACATAAGATACAGACACTTTCAAAATAAGATACAGACACTTTCGCAATAAGATACACAGACTTTC